TGAAACAGAGGACAGTTATGGTAATTTTTAAGCTTTCAAGACACCTGAAAGTGCCTGTCAAAGGAAATTTGTTCAGGGGTGAGTAGCAGTGATTAACAAACCTGGCCAAGTTTACATACAAGTTCTTAACTTTGATGGAGAGCAGAAAAATGATGCTGTATATCTTAATATTTGTGCAGCTGCTGTTCACCCACTTTCAAAATGTTCTCTTGGTGGCAGACACCTGCAAACGTGCACGGAATTCACTTATCCTCCAAAAGGGAAAGAACAGACAGGTACCAAGAAATCCAACAGGAAGAAATTATCTAAAAAAAAAACCACACACACAAAAACCCTGAGGTACTTGTTAACATGTTCCCTCAGCATAGCAATATTGCACAAATATTCTGCAGGACAGTGTGCAAGCTTCTGGGAACACATTAAACCTTGGTTCTCCAAACTTTGCAAGTAATTGCTTAAAGGCAATATCCCTAGCAGCCAACTGAGGCTGAACATCTGGGTGGTGGATGCTTGATTCCTAGGTGGAGCCTGAAGCCAGGGCTGCAGGATGTTGGAGAAATGGCAGATGACATTTTCATGCTCTGCTTCTGCACTGCTCATTGCTGCTCTCGGAGGGGCTGCATTGTTAGCAGACCATAAAAGTTGTGTCTGAATGGATTGTCTGAACATTTTTTTCTGAATGAGGACTTCCAGATCAATACCAGACCTTTAGCATTCCAATTGGTCCTGTGCATCTTCTAGAGCAAACAAACAAACAAAGCAAGAGAAATCACAAGGACATGTTTTTATAGAATTTAAATCTAACCTGCCATATAGAAAATCTACAATAAAATTGCACTTTGTTTTCCCTTTCTGTGACTTACTCAAACTGTAAATGACTTTTGGTAAAGATCTCATGGCCACAAGTCCAAGACTGTCAGTCGAACATAGAAATCCTTCGCCTCCACTGTGCAATGGAGCTGTCTTTGAAGAATTGTGTGCAGGCTCAGAGTTTGGCAAGGAACCTGATGTGCTGGTCCAGTGTTTGTGCCCACGTAACTCTGCATCATTAGAAATTAATAGATTTTTTTTTTTATAGAAACAGGAAAGCTAGACAAAGAAAGCTCCTGCTCAAACCACGACTGCTAAATGCAAAATCAAACCCAAAGGCCCTTCAGTTCCTAATGGTAACTGCAAGAAAAGCTTTGAAATAACTAAAGATTTTTCCCAACTTTTGCTACTGCACTCACCTCTGTGCTAAGACCCTCTGAGGTTTATATGATCTTCTTGACATAACAACAGTGCAAAATACCAGACTCATCCCCTATACACAATATATTATATTTGAGTCCATACCCCATCACACTCTTGCCACACAAGCTCATCTCTTCCTAGTCATGACAAATGACGATGATGTCATGATCGAAAATATGATCGAACATGCAACACCAAGCAAATAAGATTTTGGAAGTTGGTTGGTTTTGCTGTATTTTCTTTCATTTTTTGTCATAAGTGTTGTATAATCTGTGTGGAGATGAGCATGAAATCTCTTATATTTTTTTTTTAATTGCTGCTTTTACTATCAGTTTCTATTACCTTTTTTTTTTTCTCTCTGCTCTTATGTTTGACTCTGTCACACAACTTTTGCAGAGAACTGAGAACAACCAACCTGCCAGTAAAAGGGTGCCTGCTAACCCTGGAGAGCCTGCAGCCTTCCCTGGCAAGTATATGAATGGCAATTTGAAGATTCTCAAAGCCACATGAAAAACAGTGTCTATCGCAGACACAACTTCTCTATTCACTGTTAAAAGCACTTCTGCATCTTTGTACCTTGCACCACTGAAGTCTGCCATTTGTATAGCAAACACAAGTCAAAATGTCATAAATGTCACTTACTAAGCATCAGACCCAAGAATGAAGATAATCCGAAATGTTCAAAAGAATTTTGCCATTATGAAAGATGAGATTGGAACAACATATTTATTCAAAGTTCACATCATATGTCATTGCTGTAGTTCACTATATGTGAATTCCTGGAAATATGACTCTACCTGTGTCTGCATGCAAAACAATTTTTGTGTAAATGTGCATGTTAAGGGTTGTTATGGTTCTTTTCACATCTCTTTGTAAATCCCTCTTGCTGTTCTGCCCTCTGTAGCCTTCCAAATTTTACCCTTAGGTTTGAGTTGCAGAAATCAGGTGATTTATTAGAAACAATTTTTCTCCTGCCAGTTTGTACCCCTTGTGGTATGGAACAGCCAGGGCTCTTGATGGCCACCCAAGAGGTTGGCAAGAGCCAGGGCAAAGAAGGGAGGGCTGCAACTCATTTGGCCTCAAATGAGCACTTGAAATCCTTTGCTGCATGAGCAGCCAGCCAGGATTTTATATAAAAGTTGTCAAAAGTAGGACCTTGAATTTCAACAGGGTTGATTCCACAGAGAATCGTAGATTTTGCTATGTTTTGTGTTTCTGATAGGGATAGCTGTATCATATGGTTTAGGAAGCTTTCAATCTGTGTTTGTTTTGTAGTAAATATCTGATTAAACTACTGGGAAAGCCAGGGGGAAAGGATTAATAAAGCTATTTAGTACTGTCAGCCTTCATAATGAGATAAAGAGAATTTCAAGGACCAATGAAATAAAAGAAATGGAAGAAAGATAACATACAAATAGCAAAAGTAGCTGACTACATATTCACTCAAGTATTGAAGGTATTTTGGAGGTGAATTTTGCACTGTTGGTTGACAAATTTAAGTGTCTGATTGACTGACTGATGTTTGCTTGAATCTGAAGAGTCTCAAGGTGTTTGTTTTACTCAGAAGGTAAAACCTTTCCAAGCCCATTCAATAGCACACAGCAGATCAGCATTTTCCTCTGTCTAATTCAGAGTTTCTGCTCATTGGCCAGCAAACACCAGGTCTCAGTAAAAACCAAAAACTAAATAATCTTCTCACATGTGACCCTAATGATGACAGTACTACCTTTCCAAAGGAATTTGCACACTGTCTCTTCTTGTAATGAATTTGATCCTGCTGCTTGTGGCCTTGTTTTCATTGTTGTAAGTCTTTATCCAAAGGTGTGTTATACACAGCAAGTGAGTTTTACATAGCTGCAGCAACATCGTTCATGTTCTGGAAAGTTTTTCCCTCCACAAGCTAAGTATGAAAATCTGAAATTAATTTACAGTTCCCAAGTGACTCTGATGGACTTTGCACTGCATTTTAGATTGAATTTTCCCAGCAGAAAGTTTGGCCTTCAGTGTTGAATTTCTCCAATTTTAATCCAAATATAAGTTCCAGTGTGTTGCTCTGAGTTTACTTTTTTCTTTTTCCAGGAAACTTCTTTCTGCATTATGTGAGTTATTATGAGATTAGTGGCATTTTCTGGGGTTTATGAGAAAATCCCTAGAAAATCTAACTCCTCTTATATCTTCTGAATGAGATAAAGAACAGCCTGCCCATTATCTTTGTATTGCCTATTCCCTGGCGTGACCTTATCTCGTGCTGCTACAAGAAAATATTTATTGGCATTATTTCCAAGTCTACTCCTTCCTCAGGCCCCAACAGAAGTTTTATAATGTTCAAGCATCCAGTATAGGTGTGTAGGTAGTAAGAAATACTCAATATTGTGAGATAAGCTGCTTGGTGAAACTTTCCAACAAACTAAGGTTTCACAGGTAGGTTTTTGATGTGACAGACAAAAGGGGTTTGGCTTTCTGATCTGATTGAAAGACAAAATAAGACTCAATTCCAGGGAACAGCCCTATTTTATGTACCAGTCATACTAGTCAGAAGTCTTTGCAGTCTGATCAACAAGTTTGGGCTGAAGTAGACCAGCTAACTTTCTAATGCAGTCTGCTTAACCCTTGTGAATTTCATTTCAGGAAACAGAGAGCATTTGGATGGGTGGGGTGAGGTGCTATTTCATTTCCCACGTGTAGAAGAAGGGAATTTTCCCTGGAGCCGCTGTCCTGTGCAGAGCAGTGCTGAGCACTGTCCCTGCACAGCACGGGAATTACAGGGCTCAGCAGGGGAAGGCAGGAGAGTCTGGCAGAACGCTGACCCAGCCACACAGGACATCTTCTGACAAGGTATCTAAATCACAGCAATTTGTGAGACCAGCAGAGCCCAGATGAATGGCAGGTGTGAGATTTATAGGAACTCTTTGTAATCCTGCAGCAACAAACCCTTTGGAGAGAACAGATGTGAAGGGGGAAGAAACAATACGATGGAGGAAAGAAGAAAAGCTGAACAAAGAACAGACATGTCCCTTGTAGGAACAGTAGGGAAGGGGAGAAGAGAGAGCATTCTTTCTTTCACATGGGTTTATTCTTCATTCTAAATATGTTATATTTCCCTCCAGAAGTCATTTCCACAGTTTCTTTAAATTTCAGCTAGGGAACTGCTCTTTCCACTGGTAGTTTTTCAGGCAAATGAAATCAAATTCCTGCCTAGATCAGCCCTAGGCTGTCTCCACCACCAATATTCTACTGTCAAAGTAACCAAACTATTCTGAGTAATTTTCTTTTTGCAGCAAACTTTCCTTCCCCTCCTCTAAAGAATTTCCCAACAGGGAGGGAGAACATATTTTCCCTGCTTCACGTGACCTTTGCACAAAGGAAAAAGAGGCACAAGAACAGTGAATTTCATTTGTGCCTGTTTTGTAGTGTCAATAAGCTGACAATCCCTAGTTATTTTCAGGATGGAACAACCTACTTTTCTCAACTCCTTTTTATGAATTTTGTTTGGAAACCTCCCCAAAATAATCTAGGAAGCAGAAGATTAAATGTGCCATCTTCACAAGTTCCCTATTTCACCTGTGGCAGTCTGACATGTGAGAAAGGACCCCAGTACCACTGCAGTGAGCCCCTGGAACAAAAAAGATCCTCACATGGACAGAAAGCTTGCACACATATTTCTGACTTCAGGGCTGGGGCCATATTTTGTGAAAAGTCTTTCCAAACATGTTGTGACACAATGGGAAATGGCAAGTTAAGAAATGTGAAAATGAGAAAGAAATTACCTCCAGTGAAGAACACATCCCTTTGTATCTTGACACTCTTCCCATGGATCTGTTATGTGCTTCTCAGCACTATTCTGTCTGTACCACTTCCAGGACATTCTTGGTAATGTCAGGGGCACTAACACAGGCAGGAAAAAACACCTTCCATGAGTTCTGGGCTAGAAAAAAAGGAAAAATGTGACTTGGAGTTTATAGCTCAAATATAAAAACAGTTAAAACTAAAACAACGCCTCTCTGGTAAGGCAGGTTTAACCATGCAAGTGGTAACAGAACTGTCCTGGAGAGCAGAGAGACTGCTGGATCAGGTATCTGTTCCTCACTAAAAAGACAGACAAGGACTTCATTTGGATTGTAAGCTTACATTTATTACTGCTTTCCAGGACCTCTATTTACTGAGGAAACGTGGACTCTCTTCTATCCTCTATATAACCTAAAAAGTTCCCAACACTTCAATACCACAGTTCATAGTTTGTGTGTGTCAGAAAAGGTAGTGGAGATGGAAGAATGAAGAAACCTTTCCCTCCAATACCTTGTGAGGTTATTCAACTAAGATCACAGGAACAGCAAGAAACATCTTGAAAATAGGCATGCCATTAAAAGAACTCCTAGGTTTCATTATGCCGCTTACATCTCAGCGAGCACCACTTCCTTTTGATAACTTTCCTGATATTTGAAAAAAACCCTGTACTATCCTGCAAAAAAATAACATGAAATACAGTACATTTTGTCCAGTAAACATGCAGAGAAAAAGCATCATTGCAACAGCACCACTGTTTTCCAAGCCTGAAGCACAGCTGAAGGTTCTTTATCATTCTATCTGTAGTGCTTACACCTGTGAGGAGCATAACCCGATGAATAAGGATGTGATAATGTTACAGAAACCCGCTGATAGCAGAGCAGCTCCTCTGACATCTGATTTGTTCCATGTGGCTCACACATTATTCCTTATTTCTCTGCTGCAAGATTTCACAGAATATTCTGTGTTGGAAGGGGCCCACGAGGATCATCAAGTCCAACTTTTAAGTGAATGGTGTGTACAGGGATCAAACTTATGACCATGCTCTGACCAGCAGAGCTAACCTCAGGGTTTTACTGAACATTGTACCACAGTTTGCAATTAAAATAAAACAATTATTAAAAGTTCAACTTGGCACAACAAAAAATAAGCTCCAATTTTGGGAAAAGATTTTCTGGGACCCACTTTATTTCAACACAAAGTTCACAATTTCACTTTCACCTTCTGAAATTCAGCTCTCATAAGAACAGCGTCTCGGTGTTTCCTGCTGCATCATATTCTGCTCCCTCCATGCACAGATGACCTGGTGTTTAGACAAGTCCCTGAGTAACATTTCTCTATCAGGGAATGCTCAGATTCTCTCTGAACAGTGTAAGGAAAGGTCCCCCCCTCCTCGGGGAGTAGGTAAAATTGCACACAAAAAAGTTAAATCTGGGTGGAAAACACATCTTTCTTCTTGCACAACAGTGAAAGTTTTAAAAAGTTATCCAACTCTGAAATATGAGTATTACAAGAAGTTTGTACTCAATATACAGAGACAAGTAAATATGTTTCTGGGTCAATCAAATTATTTGGGGCTCCTTATGTTTGTGCTACTTTCCCACATTTGTCAAGCTTAGTGGACAGGGTGACACTGATACCTGGGCTTCTTCCCATGAGCAGGACAAAATCAAGCCTGGATCAAGGAGGGGCAATTTATGTCACTCTATGGACAGAAAGCTTTGAAAACATTTCTTTCTACTTCTTTGGAATTAATAAAATCCCTGATGTACTTGTTCTGGTGAGGGAGGTAAATAAGGGGGAATAAGAAATGTAAAGAATTATATTGGCCCTGCAATATAATATATATATATATACATTACATTCATATATATATATATGAATCAAGGCTGTTAGTTTGCCTTTATAACATTGTGTGTTTTTTGATATTTTAGTGCTCAATTCTCTATCATTATGACAGTTCATGCCAGCTGGTGATTGGTTTGGTGCTGGAAGCATCACACAAGAAATACTCTTCATAGTGAAGGGCCATTACAACACATTTTCTGAATGACACCTGGTAAGAAACTCCTCCCAGACAATCAGTGCCATTCCTATAGGGTTGAAAATACTCAGCAAGTTGCCTTTTCTCTTTGTATCACCTACATGAAGGAAAAAAAAAATAAATTATGTATTCTCCCCAAAACTACCACTGTGCAGGTAGATCAATCCATTGTCACTTTAGCAGCAATACAGAGAAATTGAATGGTGTCCTTTAATGAGTAACATTATGGCTTCTTGGAGCTCCAGAGTACTTCTTGGAGGCATCTCAAGAACACAGAGACTGAATTTTCAGTTAGAAGAACAGGATTAATGAAAGGGGAAGTGGGCATGACTACAAGGAAGATAGGAGAGGTGAAGCATACCCAAGCTGCTGGAGAATATCTGTGGACCAGGTGTCCAAAAGCCACTGCTCAGAGCAGAAATATGGATGTCACAGCAGTCCAGACTGTGGTCCTCAAGTCTTTCTTCCCTTCAAACATAAACTGCTTTTCTGCTAAGAGATCTGCAAGTCACTGCTGGCTTTAGTTACACTTCAGAACAGTCACAGGTCTGACAGGATTTGAGACTGAACACTGGACAGATTATTGACTCACCATCCTCCATGCAAACCAACCTTACACTGCCAGGCAGTTCAAGGTTGTGCCAAAGGCCTTCCCACCTTCTAAGGACATCTAAATTCATTTGCAGGGAGATGAATCTTGTTGACTGGCAAAGGCTGTGACTGGAAAACATCTGGAAGTTTAACTTCCTAAACTGTGGTCCTGCTAAGGACCACAAAGCCCAGGAGAGAAAATCATGAGTTTGTCATTGCTGACACTGGCATAACAGAAAATTATTCATGTAACTTGTGTGTATGTGGTGTCTGTGTGTATATATATATATCTCCAGGTGCTTCTGTGCATCAGTGGAAATCCCAATGGCAGTTGGAGAGTTCCAAGACCCATTTTCTGGGATTTTGCAGGCAGCAGGTATTTTTTCTGAGCCCTGACACCATTTGCAGCAGACCCCATGACTTTTCTTCTGGGTAATTTCCCAAACTGGTGTCTCAACACTACCTTTCATTCAGTGTCAGTTCTAAGCAGGCTTCCCTTGGGGATCACAAGAAGCCACACAGCCCAGATCACAGCATCTTGAGAGGTCCTGCAAGAGGCATGAGAACACCTGCTCTTTTAACCAGGGCCATAGTCAGCAGTAACTGAACAGGCAAAACTAAGAAAAAAGAAAGTAAATACAAAGCTGGAGGGCAAGCAACAGAAATCAAACCAAAGCTATAAAGACAAGTCGGTTCTTCTCTTGGTGTCCCACAATACCAGGTCTTTGGGGCTTTTAATTTTAACTCAGCAGTATTTGTAGGCCCTGTGAACATGTTTTTCATTGATTGTTCTGGTACAGTCCCAGGGGCAAAGACCCTGCCATTCTTTCATTGAAATTCACTCTATGTGCTTCTCTTCATGGTAGTTCATTTTCACAGAAGGGGAATTGAGCTACTCTGACTTGTCCCCAGGACACACCACAGTGGATGGAAATAACACCCAGGCTTTGTAAAAGTTCTTAATACAATTACTTTTTGCTTGAGGCAAAGCAAAAATCAATAAAATGTGTGCATCTGATGTGAAAACCTCACATTTCTTGGCCTGTATCAGTCCTTGGATTTTCAGTTCACTGTGGAGGTGGAAAGAACTGGAAAAAGTCATGTGGAGCCTACACTAGAAAAAAAAAAATCACAAATTGGCACAGAAGGTCCAAGCCTGTGAGAGAAACAAAATTTGTAAACCAGGCTAGTGGGGAGCCACATATTCCAGTCAGCTATAATCAAATACAGGGCCCAACATTCACAATTAACTTCCAGCATTAACCAAATATTTTAAGTCTTGTTTCATATTTTCTCCAAACTATGCTGTTTCCATGGGTAAGGAAAAAGCACTAGTTTTGCTATGAAAATAACAAAGTTTACCTACTTTCCTTAAAATGAAAACATTTGACTTAAAAAAAAAATAAAAAGAAAAAAGAAAGGCAGACACATAGTTTCCCCATGCATCAACTTTTCAAAACTTCTCAATTCTGCAATTATTGAGCTTAGGGCTTGGAAAGAGGAAATGGGTCTAGTGCTCAACAGAGATTGCTTGAGATCCTTGCTTTCAAGGTCTTCTGCTTCTACAGGGAGCAACAAACTCCAACAAACTTGTAGCAAATACAAATGGTGCTAAAGTTTAAAACAGGAAGAATTTCTAGCCGAAAGTTCTTAACCTGTTCCTTGAAAGAGAAAAAGACAAAAGAGGAAAGCTCTCTTTTTGCAGCAGAGCTGTGCAAGATGCCTGAGAGGGGGAAATAGAAGTAAGATCAAGACTCTCCAGACTCCAAGAAAGCCTCTCCACATCCCCAAAAAGTGCTGTGGAAGGTGTCACAAGACGAACAGGGACATTATGAGTGCTGAATCTATCACTCAAACTTATGCCACTGTTTAGCAATGGCTTGGTGCTCCCTTCCCAGGAATACAGCAGCCCATGTTTGGATGTTAACCATCCAAACATGTTTGGATGCTTAACCTGGGAAGTGTTCAGACTGCAATAGAAATTCCCTTCTCATCACTGCAGAGAAAAACAGTGAGCAGCTCTTAGCCTGCTGATGTCCTTGCCATCATCTCCTTGGTCAAAGCTCCAAGGTACCTGTTTCTTCCTGGTGCTGCTGGATGTTTTCATTCTTTGTTCCTTCACAAGGGTGAAAAACACAAGCTGTGAACTTAGAAAGCAAGTAGGGAAGGTGTTTTCTTTAGTCAGTTTATTTTGCTTTTTTCCTTAATTAGGCCAGCACATCTTTTCCTGGCTTTGGCTAAGACCCAGTGTCCTCCCCACTCTATTTTCAAGGACCCAGCACCTCCTTTGGTTATTTTTGCTGGCATTATCAGTTCATGAGGGAAATAACTTATTATTAATATACTGAGGGACTCTAATTTCCCCTGAACTTGGTGATTACAGGGCCTCAGCCTGAATACATACACATTTCTGCTGCATCTTGTCTAACAAGATTTGATTGAATATTAATTGAGATTTCATAGTAAACTGACCTGTACTAATTTGTTCATTATTTTTGTAAGACAGTTTTGGGCTGGGTCTTTGACATCTGACCAAAATGACTCTTTAAATTATGGTGTTATACTTGTAGTACTCTTGTAACAGATAATTTGTAAATGTAATGCACTAGCCAGAATGGCATGTCTACAGTTATTGTTGAAAACTTAGAATGAAAAAGAAATTAAAATTCTAAGGTGCATCTCAGTAGCTCCATAATCACGTTTGGGCGTGCTAATAAAGGTTGATACATTCTTTGATACTTGATGCTATTCCCCAGTGATAGAAAGCAGAAAATTCATGACATTTTGCTAATTAACTTGAGCACTTCATTTTATGATATGAGCAAGTAAAACGTTAAGCATGATATTAATATTCTCTGAGAATTCAATACATGCAAATGACTCAAAGTGTTTCCAAGCATACTTCAAAGGCAAAAGCCAGTTTGCTGTAGCCCAGATGCTGAGTGTATTACACATCTGCACTGATGCATTTCGTACCAATACCATGGACCAGAAATCCCCAGTGCAGGCAGGAGCTGTGACTTCCAGCACCACTG